CTAAACAATTAAAGGAATGTTGGAGTGATCATATTTCATAGAAAGAAAACTAGGGTTTGGGTTCTACTCCCAGTTCTGCACAAGCTGTGTATTCTCGAATCAGTCTCTTTACTTCTCTAAGACAGAGTTTTCTCAGCTATAAAATGGAGCCAATGGCTGGCTTGTTTAAACCACTGGATTCATGAAATAATTAAGTAAGAAAAGGTTCCATAAAGCGTTTTACAATCTGCAAAATTCTTTTTGTTTTTTTGTTTGAGACAGAGTTTTGGTCTTGTTGCCCGGTCTGGAGAACAATGGCACCATCTCGGCTCACCACAACCTCCACTTCCCAGGTTCAAGCGATTCTCCTGTCTCAGCCTCCTGAGTAGCTGGGATTACAGGTATGTGCCACCACACCTGGCTAATTTTGTATTTTTAGTAGAGACATGTTTTCACCATGTTGATCAGGCTGGTCTCGAACGCCTGACCTCAGATAATATGCCCACCTCAGCCTCCCAAAGTGCTGGGATTACAGGCATGTGCCACCATTCCCGGCACAATTTACAAAATTCTATTCAAATATTGTTCCATTATCCTCATTGTCTTTGGAGTCAAATGGGGGAGAGTTTAAGCCCTAATTCAGTCTGAGTTTAAGCCCTAAATCAGTCTAAGCCCTGAGTTCAGCCCTCATCCCAAATCTGAGATGTTGGGCAGCTCACTTAACCTCTCTGTCCTCTGGTTTCATTTATAAAATGAGTGTAGTGAATATTAGTTACCTATGTGAAAATACAATCCCTCCTTCTTTCAATTTAATGTTATTCATAATTTTAGTTCAAGTATCCACTCTTCCACCATGGAGTTTGAATACTTTAGGTCACCTGACTCCGCCTCTATTTTCAAGAGCAGGCCTTGAAAGGATTAAACAAATTAGGGAATATAGTTTGCCTTGCCAGAGTGATTGATTTACAATTAGCAGTCTGAACACCAAAGAGATTGGTTCAGATATAAGCATATTAATTGCCCCACTCTGACCAATAAAAGGCAATGGAGGTTTTCAGATGAATGGAAGCTTTAGAAAAGAAGCTTTCTAGTTCTTATGATTTGATACCTAAAAAGAAATTTTATATTTTCTTTGTTGGCCATGGTAGGGTAACTGGTACCAGACTAGCCCTGCCACTAAAAACAACTAGAAAACTGGACAAAATATATAAAACAATTCAACTACCTTTAGACATTATATAATAGGTGCACAAGACTATGATACCTAAGAGAAGAGAAGAGAAACAAATGAGTAGAGCCCAATGATTACCCCAGCTTTCTGCAAGACTCAAGGAGGAGGAATCCAAGCATAACACAGAAGTCTTTTTATTTAGTTTTACTTTTTATTGTATTTTATTTTTATAGAGATGGGGTTTTATCATGCTGGCCAGGCGGGTCTCGAACTCCTGGTTTCAAGTGATCCACCCACTTTGGCCTCCCAGAGTGCTGGAATTACAGGCATGAGCCACCACACCCGGCCAGGAGTCTTAGTAAGTTAAGGACACAAAGATCAGAGTTCAGGGAGGCCAAAATGGCTAAAGTTTGTATTGAGGACCAGAAAAGACTGAGTTTCATAGAGAAAACTTGCTCCATAAACCTTAGAATGTTTAACCAAATAATAAGTTGTATATTTATAGGATAAGACTAAACAAGAGCAGTTACTAAGGAAAGAAAACTAATATGCAGCTGTAAGTTGAACAACTACCAGAGCTTTCAGTCTCAAGGGGCATTTCAGTTCTGATCAACCCAAATAGAGACATATCATTGAACCCTCAGAACATTTATCTGAATCTGCACCTTATAATCAATACCCTTTAGAAATGGGGCTAGGTTCTAGAGTAAATGCTACCTAAACATGCTCCAACAGGGTTTTGAAAAGATCAATGCCCTGGAAAGAGCAAGAAGATCTAAAAAAATTACTGTATGTGCTCAATGTCATTAGTCATTAGGTAATTACAAATCAAAACAGCAATGAGATACTGTTTCATACTCAATAGAATAGCCGTAATAAAAATATGTGAAAAGTAACAGGCATTGGCAAGGATGTGGAGAAATCATTGCCAATAGAATGCAAAATGGTGCAACCAATATGAAAAATATTTTGTTTGTTCCTCGGCAAGTTGAGCATGGAATTGCTACATGACCAACAATTCTACTCCTAGGTATATAGGCAAAAGAATTGAAAATAGGCGTTCAAAGAAAAATTGTACATTAATGTTCATAACAATACTATTTACAAGAGCCAAAAGGTAGAAACAACCTAAATGTTCATCAACTGATACATGTATAAACAAAATACTGTATATGAACACAATGAACTATTATTCAGCGACCAAAAAAATGAAATACTGATACATGCTACAACACGAAATCTTGAAAACATTATGGTAAGGGAAAGTAGACAGAAAAAGTTACAATAGTACAGAATTCCATATGCTGCATATGAATTATTAAGAATAGGCAAATTCACAGAGAAAGAAAGCAGATTAGTGGTGGCCAGTGAATATGGAGAGGAGAGAATCAGGAGTAATTGCTTAATGGGTAAGGGTTTCATTTTGCTTTTGTAGCCTGTGATTTTGAACTCTTATTCATAAAATCTTTTTCCAGACCAGTGTCCTGAAGCATTTCCCCTGCTTCCTTCTACTGGTTTCATAGTTTGGGGTTTTATCTTTAAGTATTCAATCCATTTTGAGTTGATTTTTATATAGAATGAGAGGTGGGGGTCTAATTTTATTCATCTGCATCTGAATATCCAGTTTTCCCAGTATCATTTATTGAAGAGACTATCATTTGAGAAGAATTATGAAATTATAAAATGTGATACCTCCAGCTTTATTCTTCACCTTTATGATTGATTTGGCCATTCATCATCTTTTGCATGAATTACAGAATTTTTCATACGAATTATAGAATTTTTTTTCTATTTCTGTAAAATATGTGTTTTGGAATTGGATAAGGATTGCATGGAATCTGCAGATCACTTTGAGTAATGTGCACATTTTAACATTAAGTCTTCTAATCCATGAACATGAGATGTCTTTCCATTTGTTTATGTCTTGCTTAGTTTCTTTCATTTCTGTTTTGTAGTTTTTAGTATATAAATCTTCCACCACCTTAGTTAAGTTTATTCTTAAGTATTGTCTTCTTTTCAGTGCTATCATAAATGGGACTGTAAAAAGTTCTTTCCAGTAGTTCACTGTTAATGTATAGACAGGCAACTGATTTTTATTATCATAATTTTTTAAAATTATTATTATATGTGTCAAGCAGTATGGAAATTCTTGTTGTTCTTATTATTTGGAACTCTTAATACAAAACAAGTAAAAAAAGTAGAAGCCGGGAGCGGTGGCTCACACCTGTAATCCCAGCACTTTGGGAGGCTGAGGCAGGTGGATCACGAGGTCAAGAGATCGAGACCATCCTGGTCAACATGGTGAAACCCCGTTTCTATTAAAAATACAAAAAATTAGCTGGGCATGGTGACGTGTGCCTGTAATCCCAGCTACTCAGGAGGCTGAGGCAGGAGAATTGCCTGAACCTAAGAGGCGGAGGTTGCGGTGAGCCAAGATCACGCCATTGCCCTCCAGCCTGGGTAACAAGAGTAAAACTCCGTCTCAAAATAAAAATAAAAAAAAAAAATAGAAAATAGACCCAGTGTCACAGTAGCCCGGATTGAAAAAGGAAACAAAACAGACCCAGGAATGAGCAGACTAGGACTGAAAAACAGCAATTACAACTATGTAAAATGACCGTGTTAGTAGTATGACACTGTGCAACAAATTAACCCAAAATTTAGTGGTGTAAATAGTAAGCATTTATTACTTCATATTTTCTGAGCATCAGGAATCCAAGAGTACATTAGCTGGTGGTTCTGGCTCAAAAATTAATAATTTTAAGGATTTAATATGATAAATTTGGCAGTAATTTAAAAGACAGCAAAATATAAAGTGCCATAAAAGTAAAAATAACTCTAGCAATAAAATGGCAAATGTGGTATTAAGTGTAAATTTCTTTTTATTTTTAAATTTTTTTTTAATTATTGGGAGACTTCTGGTTGTAACGAATAGTTCCCATTGAATTACCCTTCTTCCCGAAGAAAACAAACTATAAAACTTGTAAAAAATAAAAAAAATAAACCATTGGGAAGTATACAGAGAAAGATTTTGGAGAAGAGAGAACATTTGGAGGAAGAGAGATGAAGAGTCCCATGAGCTCAGTCATGCATCATTTAATGGTAGAGATACCTTCTGAGAAATGCATCGTTAGGTGATTTCATCATTGTGTGAACATTATAGAGTGTGCTTACAGAAACCCAGATGGTATAGCTGTCAGGTCTCCATATGCAAACCTGGAGGCTGAAACTCTGAAGTCCTGCTTGCCTCCGCTGACGTCTCCCACCCGCTGCCTGTGTTCACCATTGTCCCTGACACCAAGCCCCTCACCCAACCCTGCCTGCCATCTTAACTGTTCTTATGATAATGTAAATACCTCTCACCCAACCCTGCCATTGTAACTGAACTTGTGGTCATGTATACTCCTTGCCCCTAATCCCCACCACTGTAACTGAACTTATCCTGCAACACCTCCAACCCCCCAAAAAACTACCCAAACCTGTAAAACCAACTCCCATCCCACTGCCCTTTGCTAATGCCCTTATTGGCCTTAGCCCACCTGCACCCAGGTGAATAAACAGCCATATTGCTCACACAAAGCCTGTTTGGAAGGTCTCTTCATTCAAAGTGCATTTTTTCATCAAAAGCCTATTACACACCTAATCTATGTGATATGGCCTATTGTTAGTAGACTACAAACCTGTACTTCATGATATTGTACTGAGTACTATAGACAATTGTAGCACAATGATAAGTATTTATATATCTAAACATAGAAAAGGTATAGTAAAAATATGGTCTTATAACCTTATGGAACCACTGTCGTACATGCAGTCTGTCATTGACTGAAACGTCATCATGTGGCACATGACTATATATTTCCATCACTAGCTTTTAGCCTGGGTTAAATGCAGTCCACGTATTGTTGGGGGTAACCATGAAAAAACTGCAATCTTTCAGCCTGGGAACCATAAGAATGAAGTCAGGAAACTGTGTCCACTGAAAAGAGTCGGGGAATCTTGGGAAAGAAAGAACTAGAGAAGGGATTCCAAAACATTTTTCCACCCAAATCATTTACTGACCCCTAAACCATGCTTATAGGTTTCAAGAATAGTATCATTATCCTTTCCAGGTACTACCCCATGTCTGTCTTCTTTAAATGGCATCTCCTGAAAGCATGCTGTCTTTTTCAGCCTGTTTCTATGAAGAGGAAAGCACCACATGTGTAGAATACCATGCTGAGACCTTTATCACAAGGCAGAACCCAGAGGACTCAGAGAGGCAAGGAAGTCAGTAAGCTTGCAGGTCATACCCTACAGGAGGCATAAAAATCACTAGGTAAGGCTTGCCTGGTTATATCATTTGCTGGAATGCTGGAATTCTCTCTTCAAGAGAAGTGCAATGGGGTTTACTTACAGAACTTAGACAAGACCCATCTTAGCACAAAATGGGAAAAGATAAAGATCAAATCAAATTGTCCTGGTACGAATTTTTAAGATTCCTTTTTTTTTTTTTTTTGAAAAACAAGAGTCTCTGTTAAATCACAGAGAGAAACATGAAGTATCTGTCCCTATGGAGTTAAACACAGAGTGAAATTCTAAAAGCCCTCTGTCTAACAGCCCCTACATGTCATCAAACTCATGTGCTTCCTGCCAGTTGGGATGCTCCCAGCACCTGACAACCAAGAGCCATTTGAGAGCTCTGAGAAGTCCTTCCAGATGGCTTTCTTAGAAGTCATTAAGCTTCTTGTTTCCATGAGCACCAAAGTGTTTGTTTTAAACAGATTTTCTATGACCCCCACATGTGTTTAAATTTTCTGGACTTCATGTCTTATTTAGAAAGTCAGCTCAGCCCATGTCTGAGCAAAGTAATGTGATATGACAGGCTAACTGGGCATGAAGGTCATCCCAGGCATGCTTGGGACCAGGAAATTGAAGAAACACATGCCTACTCACCCACTGTGAGGGTGTAACAAGGGAGGGATGGGGAAGGTGGGAATCCTAAGGGGGAACACAATAATTTTTTCATAAACCAAGTGAAACAAATTAAGATCTTTAAAATTCCATGATGGCAGCTTTTGACATCAGCAATTATCAGAGGATCAACTTCCTCTGCTCTTTCAGGTTTCAGTATATTTAAAATCTCCTATCTTCTTTGGGACTTAGTGTAAATTGACCACCCCTCTTCTGCACTGATTCCCAGACATTGCTGTACATTGGAATCACCTGAGAAATGTATAAAACTACTGATGCCTAGGTCCCACTCCTAGAAATTTTTATTTAATTGGTCTAGAGAGCACCTTGGACAACAACCTATTGTGAAGCCCCCTGCTGATTCTAATCTATAGCAAAGTTTGAGAATAAGGGCTCAGTGCTTTGTTACTCAAAGTGTGGTCTGAGGACCTGGGAGCTTGTTAGAAATACAGATTCTCAGGCAACATCTGGATCCACAGAATCATGATCTCCACTTTAATAAGATCCCCAGGTGATTCACATGCACCTCAAGTTTGAGAAGCATTATTCTATTTTTCCATAGCCTCCTTCTGCTCTGCAGAAGAGTATGTAGCTCTTAACAGTGGTTGTACATTAATATCACCTGGAAAGGCTTTCAAAAATATTGATGCCTGGATCCTCTCTCCAGAGATTCTAATATAATTGGTCTTGAGTGTGGCCTGGGCAGCTTTCCAAATAATTTTTTAAAATCTTTCCAGGGGGTTTTAATATAAACTCTGGGCTGAGAATCACTGCTATAGAAAGATGTTTTTTCTTCGTTTACTTTAATAGCCTTTGGTATAAAGTGACCATTTCTGTTAAATAGTTACGTTCCCTGGGAGAGAACCCTCTATTCTATCTTTCTGCATTGGTTATCAAACTTCAATGTGCAAAAGCAACAACTGAGTGCCTTCCCTTCAGAGAGTTTCCCTTGGTAAGTCTGGAATGGGGTCCAGAATCTGCATTTTTTTACGTCCCATTTGGAATTCAAACATGCATTATTCTTGCACTGCATTTTGAAAATCACTGCCTTAGCATGACAAAAGAATAGGAGAGTAGATTTTGATAGGCACAGGGAGAAAAAGGTGAGGTCTCAGAGTAAGGGTTAGGGAACAGAAAGAAGTGATGCAGGTGAAGCACAACATGGAGCTCCAAAGGCTCATGAAAGAAGAAACCGTATGGCGCAATTCTTAGTAATGAGCAGTAAAGCTCAAGCTCTGTGCAAATCAGGCTGCTTCTTGTTTGATCAACCCGAAGTTGCCCAGGAAACAGCAATGTGCCTCAGTGAGCACTATCTCGGAAGCCCCAAGAGAGAGACTTTTTGGGTTTTTAATTGCTTCTGCTCAGGGCTCCTGAAGTTTTGTTTTTTTTTTCTTTCGCTTCTTCTTCTTAAACCAGTCAAATTTAGCAGTGGGGGATTGTCTACCAACTTTAGTGACACTAATAAGTTCTGATAACCCATCGGACCAGCCTCCTTTCCCTTCTTGACCCTTCAGATTAAGGATTAGAGGAACTCGACTTGAAAGAACACTGTCCAAAACCTAAAATCTATAACTGCACCTTGCCTTTTAGAAAAGATGTATGCAGAAAAATTGTACATAGAACTTTGGTAAATCAAATGATATGTTTAATGAATACAGAATAGGAAAGGAGCTTGCAATATAAAATAATCTGATAATACCTGGAAAATTATTTTTTCTGTTCTTTTTTTAATTTTTTGAGGTTTTATTTTTATTTTTCTCTATATCTGATTTTTCTTAACAAAGGACATATATTTAATATTGCTCATTCATGGAGTCATCATTGTATTAAACAAGAAAATGCATTTAAAGCATTAAGATAGTCCCTGGCTTGCAGTGAATATTCAAACAAGTTAGATTTTTTTTAAAGAGTAGCCTTAGGTCCACAGCAAAATTGAGAGGAAGGTACAGAGATTTCCCATATGCTCCCTGCCCTCTCACAGGCATAGCCTCCCAGATTATCAAAATCTCCAGAGTGGTACATTTGTTATAATTGATGAACCTGTGTTGACATGTTATAATTACCCAATGTCTATAGTTTACATTAGGGTTTACTGTTGGTGGTGTTCGGTCTTTGGATTTATACAAATGGGTAATGTATGTATCTACCCCTACAGTATCATACAGGGTGTTTTCACTGCCCCTGAATCCCCTGTGCTCCAGTACTATTTTTACTATGATAATGGAATTTGTGCAGCCTAGCTGTAAGACAAGGAGGGTTATCTATCTCTACCTACCCATCTCAGAGGTCAAGACCAGCTCTGGGACTCATAGATTTCTGTCTATTATAAAAGAACTTGCAGGCAGAGGGGAACACTGTCAGGCAAAGCCAGTCCATCAACGATTTATCAAATGATAGCTTCCTAAAGATGATTGCAGTAAGGAAAGCAGGGAAATCCAGATTCCAGTCTTCAGCACTGGTAAGGAGCAGCAGTGATTTTTTTCCCCCTAACAAATCAATTTATAAAGCAACTGGTTTCATTCAATGAGGGCTTACTGTATAAAGACACAAGCTTAAATCTCATTTAACTCCTCAACATTATTAACTTCACTTTACCAATGAGAAAAGGTCTAGAAAGTGTCTAAAGCAGTTCCTTAAATCTGTTTCCTTCTATATCCAAAGCCCAAGTTGTAACCACTTTTTATTTTTTATTTTTTGAGAGGGAGTCTTACTCTATCACCCAGGGTGGAGTGCAGTGGTGTCATCTCAGCTCATAGCAACTTCTGTCTCCTGAGCAATTCTCCTACCTCAGCCTCCCAAGTAGCTGGGATTACATGCACCTGCCACCACACCTAGCTAATTTTTGCATTTTTATTTTATTTTATTATACATTAAGTTCTGGGGTACATGTGCAGTATGTGCAAGTTTGTTACATAGGTATACATGTGTCACGATGATTTGCTGCATCCATTCCCCTGTCCTCTACATTAGGTATTTCTCCTAATGTTATTCCTTCCCAATCTCCCCTACCCCTGCTATATCTCCCCCAGTTCTCCCATCGAGACTGGGTTTCACCGCATTAGCCAGGCTGGTCTCAAACTCCTGACCTCAGTGCCCACCTCAGCCTCCTAAGCTGTAACCACTTTATATGCTCCCCTTTCTCAATAATTATTACTTCAACAAATGTTCTCTTGGCCTCCTTATTAAAATAAGCAAAGACAAATCATTTGTAAGGTGAAACTCAGGCATGTTAAAATAAGACTTCAAACTCTCGAAATAATCTTGGATTACAGAATGTGAAGCTCCTTCTCTTACGAGACAAATTCCAAACAAGAACTTGAGAAGCCGCTGGAAGTTCATTCAAGAGCTCAGTAGACTTCTTAACTCACATCAGTCTGATTCATCTCTTAATTTAAGAAGTACCATTTTAAATGATACTTCAGGATGTCAGGCAGAGCCTGATAATAGTTATTTCCCACCTGGAGGCCTCCATTAAGAATCTGCACCCCTGTTTGACCAACTTGAACTCATGCTTGAACCTTGCCTTTCTCGCCACCCTTATCCCAGTGCACCTGTCTGCTGACCATGACTGCAGATTTTACCCCCATGTTTCCTCTCTAAAGGGCATGCAGGACAGGTGCCCTGTTGTTCCTCTTTTTTTTTTTTTTTTTTTGAGACGGAGTCTCGCTCTGTCACCAGGCAGGAGTCCGGTGGCATGATCTCGGCTCACTGCAATCTCCACCTCCCGGGTTCAAGCGATTCTCCTTCCTCAGCCTCCCAAGTAGCAGGGATTACAGGCACACACCACCACGCCCAGCTAATTTTTGCATTTATTGTAGAGACAGGGTTTCACCATGTTGGCCAGGATGGTCTCGATCTCTTGCCCTCATAATCCACCAGCCTCAGCCTCCCAAGGTGCTGGGATTACAGGCATGAGCCACCATGCCCAGCCTGTTCCTCATCTTAACTCTGATCCCAACTGTCACACTTCCACCCCCATCCATGTAATGACTTCTGAGACATTCAGATACTATTGAGTAGTACTTCTAGGCTCTATATTTTGCTGCATGCTCTGACGCCCTGCAACATCTCTTTGTGTGTGCTCTCCTAAATTCACATCTGCTTAGGTTATCTCTGATCTAGCTGCCTGTCTGGGATAGGACTTTTTCCTTTCATTCTTAGCCTAGTGCTCTATTTGTATTTTCTACAGTTTCTGGCTTCAGATTGGAGACCCATTACACGCTGTCCCAGGGGCGGCAGATGTTTTCAAATGCCTGGGGGCTGACATTTGGCAAAGGATTTGTACCCAAAGTAGGAATCCAAGATGACATCAGCAGAACCTGGTAAATCAGCCCACTATTGTCTGGAGCACTTAAGGAAATGAAA